GTTTATACTATTATTTAAGTTATTGAAATACTGTTATTTGCTTCATAAGCAAGTTTATTTATTGGGAAAAGTAGATATCTCATGGTATCACATCCATAGCCATTTGCTGTAAGTGATTGCTGTCTGCTTAAAGATAGGAAGAATTAAACTGAGCTGAAACAGAACCAAAAATACTACTGATGGACATTTATATTATTAAAATGGTTCTCAGGAGCAAGCTAAATTCTCTCTTCCCCATTGTTTTTCCTTGTGTCCCCGTAGCCTCTTTCTGAACAGGATTGAACCATTTTTATGCAAATTTAAATGCAAAGCTTTAACCACAGATAAGTTCCCAGAGGCCAAGAATTCAAGACTGAAAACACCTGTTCTAAACTGTAGAGCTTCAGTCTGCTGGTCTCTCCTAGCTGTGAGCAGGCCCAGGATTTTGCATTTTCAAAGACTAGATGAAGCAAAGTCCTCTCCCTGTTGCTCTAGCATTCCTGCAGGGGGAATTTCAAATACTTAGTTCAGGAGAAGTGAGGTCAATTTAAATCTGTGTAACTCCATCAGCAAAGTTTTCTGTCAGTTTCTCATTTAATGGGGACATCTTTGGAGAGGTGCAATATAGGAGGAAGGAAAATTAGGAACGTGGTGTGGTGTCACAGCATTTCTCCTAAATTTGATTCACTAGAGCAGTTTTGACAGGAGACATCAACATAGTTCTGGGGATGTAAAGTATGTTGGTATAAATGTTGTCATCCACAGACTGTGTAATAGAAAATATAAAGTTAATTCTAAGAGAGTTTAGTATTCTAAAGATTAGTATCAAAAGACAAAGACATGTTTGTTCTTGCCCTCAATGATCCAATAAATCTTTTATTAGATGAGGTTCTGTAGAAATAGCTTCTCTGGGAGTGTTAGGTTGTACAGAGGAGGCTATAGAGCAAGCACATTTACTTCCATCACTTCAGTCACCTAAATAGAGGAAAGAAATAATTTCAGGTTGCCTGCACCGTTCCATTCTGTCCACCTGCCTCTTAGTCTGTCAGAGACCTCTCCAGACCATTGGTTATACAGATAACTCTACTTAGCTTAGAGGAACGCACTGACAAGGACTTAGACTTATGAGACCTTGTCCTACGTATTTCCTTTAGAAGCCTTCTGCTTCATGTTTTCCTATGAAGTGTGTTCTGATACTTCTGATTTGTTCTGTGAGTAGCACAGGGAGCATTTAATGCCTGACTTACTGCTGTGGATTCTGCAGCAGGGAGAAGGACTTGTGTAATTGATAAGTGATTGTGTACTTAGCCTTTTTTTTTTTTTTTTCCTTTATTGCTTCTTTTGTGGAAACACAGAGACAGTGTTTAGCATCCAAGAATTGAGTCCAAATGAACTGCAAAGCATGCACATCTTCTAGAAAAGGGAAGTGAATATTTTATTGCAATTTGTCTTTTTGATAGTAAGTATAGTAAAAGGGCCTTCAGAATGAACTGATATTCTCCTGCCTTTCTGGTGCATTGTATATTTCAAAGAGTGGAGAAATAGAATATGGCAACAAAATGAAGCACCACTGGTGGCACTGTAGAAAATCTGTTATACTGTGTCCAGTGTTTGTTCTTTTGAACAGAGAAATTCAGGATATTCATATTAATTATCTGACACATTCTCTTTTGAGCAAACACATCCCTAGTAATTCTGCAATGTGGATGATTTTAATAGTTAACACCATATTTGTAACTGTACTTAGTAGTACAGTGTTGTCAGTACACTGACTATAGTGGATAGTTGTTCAGATTTTCCTGTGAAATCTGCCCATACATTACAAGAGGTCAAGAGTTTTAGAAAGAGCAGATAAGCAGTCCCATCAGTTCCTCTGTGCTATAGACCTCTGCTGCTGTTTACATGTGCCCCTGGCGCACTGTCAGCATCCAAGTATTACCTCAACCTCCTTAGCTACATACTTGCATGTCCCCCTACACTCCCTTGCCTCATTCACTGCACTGTTTTCATCCTCTTGTAGCACCGTCTTCTTGCAGCTGCCCCCATCTCACTTGTTCCTTCAGTATACTACTGCTGCTTGCATACATCACTGAGATGGGAAAAATAGGTCAAGGACTGGGCTAAGGGAGATAGGAAAGAAAAGACGATAGTGGCAGTGAGATGTGCTTCAAAAAGATCTTGTTTCAGTGCGGTTCCTGCCTCATTACAAGCTTGAAAGTTTGTAGGAATGAGGTAAGAAAGAAAGCTATCGTATTCAGACAGTACTCTGGAGAACTAGGAGTCTGTCCCTACATACCCTAGGAATTCTCATTAATTACCATGCCAGCTGAACACAGCTATTCCAAGGTAGTCCAATTGCATGCTTTTCTTTCCTTGGTACCCATGCTGAAATGCTGTGCTTGAATATATATAAAAGCCTACCAATGTAACGAGTAGTTTTTAAACAGATCATAGGAACTTTCAGTTAGGCTGTTTAATTTAGTGGATACTTTAATCTCATAACTTTAAACCAAGGATAATTTTCTGTGTTTTGGTACGGAAAAGTATTTCAGTCTTCTGTAGTGACATTTAAGGAAATGCTACTGGAATTGGCTTTGGAAAGATCCATACGAAATTATATTATTAGTAAAATACAGAAGTTCAGTTATATTCACTCAAAGGATAG